CCTTCATAAATGCCCTGGCCTACAGTGGTCACGCACTACATGTTATGTTTGTTGTTTTATATTTAAAATAGGCTTCATACATTTGGATTTCTGTTCCTTTTGGGGAAAGATAATGCTGAATAATCCTTTAAATTTTGCACAGTAGATACCTGGTAGATTCCTAATAGAAACTTACATGTTGGTTTCTCACTATAGAATCACACCAGTAGAATAAGGTAAGACTGTCACGCTCGGTGAATATCCAATACTATCACCAATTTCCAAGAAGATATTTCTGCTTGAAGTGGATGAGGTTAAAACTTTCAACTTTTACGTACCTTTGGATTTAAAAACATTTGATAGGGAGTGGAATGTAACTTATTTCAGCTACGCTATGATTTATGGACTCATACTGTTTTTTGCTGGAACTTTTTAAAGTCAGTTAATAGAGGATGGCTCAGTTTTCCGGGTCTGAATTTGCCAGAAGCAGCTGCATTTTGAACTATTCTAATGCAAATTTAATTCCAAAGCATCTGTCATATGTAGCAATCTAAATTTAGAAACCCACAGGGATCTGCATTTGAGTTTCATCTTATATCTAAAAAGTATTTCCTCCCCATTGAGATCATTAAAACTTGATTCCGATGTATCCCACTCTATTGTGGTAATTTTAAAGAACTTTAGTGCTTAAAATAAGGCTTTAGCGACACATACTATTATTTATTCTGGAGTCTTACAGAAGGTGTACATTTACAGTTTACTTATGATAGAGATTTGCTGAAGCTTAACTCAATATAAAAGATAATGATACTAAAAGATGGTCTAATAAGATTAGCTATGAAAAAATCTAAATGGCAATTTAAATGAAGTTTTATTCCCTCTATCAAAATGTCTCAGTCATAATCTATGGAGTAGAAAAGAAATTTGAGGACTATTATCTTTCTTTTCAACTTAGTTAACTCCTCATTACAGTAATGGCAATGGCACAAAATGTTTCTAAGAAATAAAATGCTATTTTTGAAAACAGAATTGATTTTTAAGTAGAGGCAACAGAAAATTCATTTACTCTCATATCCTTCCATAAAGTAGACTGTTACCTCATTACTTTAAATGAATGAGCTGAAATTAAGTGTTGGAGAATTCTAAAATCTATTCCTATATGTGATGTCTACATTTTAAATTGTTTGAATAAAGTGAGAAAATTAAGGAAATTTAAACCCCCTAAACTTATTATCTGAAAGAATTCTCAAGTTAATAAGGTGTTGAAACCACAGTACATGCTTATAAAACACAAATCAGAAAATCATATAATTAATGAAATATAACTCTGCATTTGTGTGTATACATCCACAAATAGAGAAAGGGATGGGTAAACAGTAAAATTTATGGCAACTAGGTATCAAGTATGAAGGGACAGGGTGCAAAGGACATGTAGCGCTACCATATATATGTTTTAACAAAATGTTAACCCTTCTGCTACTGCTACTGAGAGAAAACATAGTTGCAGTCAACTACTCAAATGTAGTTTCAAACTCTGCTGATAGCCTTCAGATTAGAATAAGAAAATCTTAAATACAGGGGAAAAATCTTTAACATTTTCCCTTTCTGATGTGAAGAGCAATGCATTTCTGAGGTGATTCTAGTTTTCCTCCTAACAATTTGACAGAAAATCCTATTCAATTTACTTTCATTATTTTCCTTTTAGGTCCCAGTTTTAAGGAGTAGTGGATGTAATGAATGAAGCAATAATTCTGGAGTAGGTGGTCGCTGTGATTAACTCAGAGTTATTTGCCAGACAGAGACAAAGTAGACTGAATATCTAACTAGACTAAGATCTATCAGAAAGTGTCCTCCATAACTATAGGAAAAAATTATGACTTGAGAAACTGATTTAAAATCAAACAGGCCAGAGCTTCTTTAAAATGACAATCCTAAATTCACACAGATGGAGAACCAACCTTAATGAAAGAGATGATTTTGCTTTGGCAATCTGAATGTAAATAATCAAACTCTAATTAAAAACATTTATAAAGATTTTATTGGCTAGAAAACTAAAAATGTATTATTTATATTGTAGGTACTCCCATTTTTGACTGAAAATCTGTAACCACTAATATGAAATGGCCCAATTAATGTATTTGTAGATGGTGTTACTCTAAACTTGATTCTTTTTTTTTTTTTCATTCAAAGAGACATCATTTCCTGGTAGAAAGAACCATAGATATTATAATAGCAACTTGCTTATTGGTTTGGCAAACTAAAGTTGGGACAGTGTAGAATCAGGGTGTGTTTTATAGCTACCACCCTGCTAGAGGAATGGAGACAGGAGAGTAACACAAGGTTGCTGACTTTTACTCTAGAGAAAGAATGGTCCATCCAGTTTTCTGAAACTGACAGTTATGTTTGCTTTCCACTGCCTGAATTTTCCAGTTTTTATGAAAGATGCTTTGTCTAGACCTTACAGAGGCTTGATGCTTTCACAACAGAAGGGCACACTCCTTATCCCAAAAAGACACACAGCATATGTGAGGCATCATTATCATACCTAACCTTTGTACCTGGTTTGTGGACAAAGTATGGTTTGCCACTTTACCATTTCTTCCTGTCCTTAAACAGCATAAAGAGTTTACTCAGGTGTGGTCACCCTCAACCAGCTCAATGTGTACATTGTTGATTTTTTTTTCTTCAAAGATCAACAGCACTTAATGGTACCCTTGCTTTGGGTTATCCCTCACCCCTACCTACACAAAACCTCCCTTTATATCATAGCCTGTTAAGATCTTATTCTTATTTATTTTTATTCATATAGCCAGTCCCCTAGCATTCTAGCAAGAGCTAATAAGGTATTATGTCTAGGTGTGGGTTTGAATTATTTGGATATTTAGATATGGATAATTAGAGACATTTCAGAGGAATATTACAAAGAAAAGGAAAATTCTCACCAGAAAATAAAAATTTACCTGAAAAGATGGACTTATTTTTTAAAAGAAAACATGAGAACCTGTTATATATATTTCATAATGGTGATAGGTCTTTATCCCAATTTTAAAATGAAAGAATAAAAGAATTTAAGAACAAGAATAGATTCCATAGATTACTTACATCAAAGATTCTCCAAAGGGCACCACTGACATTTTGGGCCAGATGATTCTTAGCACAAAAAGCTGTCCTGTGTGTTGTGGGATGATTAACATCATCTCTGGTCTCTACCCACTAAATACCAGAAACACTACTCCACCCAACTGGACAGCCAAAAATATCTCCAGACATTACCAAATGTCCCCTGGAGGACAAAACCACACCTACCTGAGAACCACTGTTCTATGACATGATGCATGTTGCATTCATATGACCAGAGAAAATTTCTTTGCAATTCTTGAGAGGTATAGGAGGATGTGGCCCAAATCACATACAGTTGCAATAAAGAATTTAAAGTAAGATAAAATTCTCCAAAAGGGTAAGTTTCTACAGCAAAAATAATAATACATGTTCTGTTTATTTAGATGCTGGTAAGACCAGAATGACACAGAAGTTGTAACACTGCTTGCATTTTGTTAAAATATTTTCATGTCCATAAGATATAAAGGGCAGTACTATAGACTGACTGTCTATGTCCCCCAAAATTACTGTGTTGAAACCCTACCTCTTGATGTGATGGTACAAGTAAGGGGGGCCTTTGGGAGGTGATCAGGGTTAGATGAAGTCATGAAGGTAACGCCTCACAAACGGGATCAGTGCCCTTATAAAAGTCACAAGAGAGCCTGCTTCCTTTTACTGCTCTCTGCCATGGGGCCATGTGAGGGTTCAAAGGGAAGTAATAAAATCTGCACCCCGGAAGAGGGCTCTCACCAGAACCAACCATGCTTGCACCTTGATCTTGGACTCAATCTCCAGACTATGAGAAAGACCATAGCAGCCAGAACAGAATGATAATGATTACATTATCATGAAATCAGATTAGCTTTGTTACAACTAAGAATTTACTGGCCTGTGGCTATTAGCTGGTCAGCCTGCCATCATTCTTAGTAGGCTTATGGCATTTAAGAGCTGTAGCAACCTCCCTAACTTTTTTCTTTTTAATCAGGAGATTAATCTGTCCTCAAATTCAATATTTAGTAACTCTGTGAATCTGGAACAAGTTACATCATTTCTCTGGGCTTCTCTTTCCTTATTTGTAAAATTCAAATGATACAACTCATAGGGAAGTTTAAAAAAAGTTTAAATGACCTTTGGTGAGTATAGAGCTCAGTTAATGATACGTGATAAGTTAATAGTAATGGTTATTAGTAAACCATAAAAGTTGTAATAAATTTCATCTTATAAAATGTGAATCCTTTGCCTTCAGGGCTGGTTTATATACGGTACCAGGAGGAAATCTTTTGTAATCTGTTAGGTAGTGACAACACAAGAGAAGAACCAAGGTTTCAAAATAAACGTGTTCCGATACCTCACACAGGATCAGGAACAGTCTTAGGCGGTTCCCTTGTGCTGGCGACACCTTGTTGAACCTTACATGTGTGCATGCCTTTTCCTAGTAGGAAGGCAGGTATCCTTAGAGGAAAAGTTTTATTTTGTACTTATTTATTTTCCAATATCATCACAAAATAAGTGAAATTACAATAAGCACTCCATGTCAGTGTTTGCATAAACTGCACTTCTTGAACGCCCAGAGAACTCTGAAAGGTAGACATAATTCAGGAAGATTTACCAGCTCCCTAAAAATTAGGCAAACACCTAAGCATGACAAAAACCCCTAAAAATATAAACATTTCTTCCAAAAACTAAGTTGGTACCATCAGATTAGCCAACTATTGCCAGAGTGCTACCCTCCAGGAAATTCTGACTCTGGCATTTATTTTTACTCCTGCATATACAGTCTTTCTGTTTTACAATGCTATGTCAGTAGATTCTGTATTTAGCTACTCTTTTTCTTTATTTTCAAAAACACTTGTGCTACAATAATTATCCTTTACCCACTTGAATTTTCAATCCTGGTTGCAGTGTGAAGTAACAGCACCTACCATTATAGTGTTTAATTGTGTCAGTGGTTAAGAATCTCTTCACCACGAGATAAGCAGAGCCAGGTTCAGCTAACGAACTCCACTGAAGCACCTGCTCCAACACATTTTCTGTGTAGTGAAGAGGGCGCTCTGCAAAAATAAAACCAAATCAAATTGAAAAAAAAATTAAGAGAGAATTTTTATAATTGTGAATTTCTAAAAATCCTTGAAAAAGATCTGTATGCAACAATAAATATTACCATATCTTGTGTTACACAATAATAGCGCTAGGACTATGTACAAGAGACTCTATACCTAGAACAGCATTAAGCATATAATAAAATTTACTGTACAAATCAATCTATGCAGGGACATTTGTTACCCGACTATTCAAAAAAAATTCAGAGATGCTGTACCTGAGATAAAAAACTCTGAAATAATACTGCTTTGTACAATAAACCATTATCTTACTCTACCTTCTTTTTAATTTAGGTAATATTCTGGTTTGCTTATAGAAATCCGCTCTTTTGTATATGCAATTAGGTAATTGTGAAAGGACTAGAGAAATTAATCTTGTCCAGTAGTAATAACTTTAGTTAATTCTTTATTTATCCCAACATGATTGGCATGTTATAGTGTTTGTTCAATACTTGTGAACAGCTTATAGCTAATACTGTCAGTCAATTAATATGAAATTATAAAATATAACTTCAATAGAGAACATATGAAAATAATCATAAAATATAACTGAGTAATCTATGTTTAGCCACTAGTGGAACTATCAATCAGAAACAATATGTGTCAGGATTATACACTAAATGTAACAGACCAAAAGCAAGAAGTTGATGACATCTTAAAAATTTCTCCTTGATATTCATCTATATATATTTTGTTTTAGACAATATTTTTAAATGCATCACAAGTTCTTAGCACAGAGTTAAAGAAAGAGCTTTTAGAATTACAATCAAAGCTTCATAGGAGAGCTTTCTGCTGATCAAAATATGCCAATCAGCTAATAAAACGTTACAACAGAAGCATATGCTGACAAAAAAGAAATTAAAACCTTTTTCACAGTACACTGAAAATAGCATAACTGAAATAAAGAACATAAGCTCTAATATAAAGATGATGTATTTTTCCTGATATACATATGTAAGTCACCCCAACTCTTCCATAGCCTCCTAATGCAAAGCACACAGCAGTGGAGCTTTTCATTTTGGGTTAAAGTAGGATTGATAATGGCAAGCAAAAATGAGCACCAACAGCATCATATTCATATACGAACAATGATACTTTAATTGGTAATAAAATCAAGTAAAAAAGAATAAATATAATCATATCCTTCTAATTCTGGTCTCCCCTGCTATGACCAGAGCACTCCAGAACTTACCAATAATCCGAGGTCCATAGAAAAGAATTTTCTGCTTTCAGTATAAATAACCAGATTTTTGCTTACTATTCAGTACAGTGAAATGCAGTTGTGCATTTTGTGCTTACTGGAGCAAGCCTGTTCATTATGATGATAGCAATTACAAAAAAAAACAAACCAAAAAACCCCAAAAATAAAAGCAAAAACAAAACAAGCAACTGTGCCACACATGTTGAAAACAAATCTACCTTTTGTTTATAAATGCAGAATGTCGAATACATAATAGATGTTTAATAAATACTTGAGGAATGAAGTATCTTATGAATGGTGGTCTACAATTAACAGAAAATATTTGCAAATGGATCAGCAGACAAAATACAATTCTCTGTAAAATCAGGTAAGATCTTTTATGCCATATCAATCCTATTTTACTTCAAGTAATTTTCTAAAAGGTTTGGCAAAGATTATAATTGCCCATAATTTACCAAAGTTATAATCCAACTGTTGATTATGTCATATCGGTTAACTTCTATTAATGGAGGTTATAATTAGAACTAACTGTATTTTTAAATAAAACTATTTATAGAAAAGCACTCTCTTTAAATTTGGTGTTACATAATTCTTGGTTCCACTATATGTAAACTCTGGTATACTGCTGATCCCCTTAACAGTTGGCACTTCTAGAATAACACCTATATCAGATATGATATACTGGATATTTTGCACCAGTTATCACTTTTAATTACCTAAACACTCTTAATTAGATATTATTATAATTCATATATCACATGCAAGGGAACCCAAAGATCAGAGAGATTCAGCCACTTGCCTAAAGTTAAACAGTTGGTTCAAGGAACAGGGGATTTGAAGCTCAAATATATTTGACTTTACAGCCCCCAAATATTAACAACTATACTTAGCTTTATTTTGGGTGATATGTAAACCACTATACAATGATTTTCTCACAGGTACCTTGGGGTAAAAAATATTAACTTGCCACTATTTTTTTGAGGATTGAATAAGGAAACATAAGCAAAGTGAAAAATCAATGTCACTTCACACTTCCCCCTTGAGATTTCCCCTAGGGAGAAGATGGTAAGGAAATAATAGCAAGATAGTTTCAACTTTTGCACCTGAGAAAACTGATGATACCACAGTTGGCTTGGAGAGAAGAATGTATTCTTAACTACAAAATAGGATCTGGATTGAAATAAAAGCTTACTCTTGTTTCTTATAAGATTAAATTGGTAATGAGATTTCTAATATCAGAATTTTATATTAAAGAGGGTCACTATCATAAGTAGATACTATGATAACTCTAAAGTGTTCTTAGTTATATGAAAATACATAACAGCTGATGAATGGGCAAATATCTATTTGCAAAAAATTAGTCGAATATGTTTTTCACATCAGTATCATAATGTGAAATACTTGAGAGAGTTAAAATCTTGACTACCCAAGTTCCTGTATAAAAAGAGAGCTGAACAATGGGATTAAAAGACAAATATTAAGAGTATCATATGCTACAATTATAAAATGGCATTAAAAGCTACCTTCAGAAAGAGGTAAGAGGCAGGAAAAAATTAGTCATCATTGTTGGTAAATAAATTCCTACAAATAAACAAGTTTTTATTTATGGTTACATTTATAACCATCTGTCATGATAGATTATATGATATGTAAATCATCTGGCATTGGGCATTAGTAGAAATAACTAATTCATTTGCATACTATCTATAGCACAGAAATTGCTGAAAATTCAGTGTAGTTATGAGAAAAACAGGTTAAGAGGTAGTTCTTTAACTAGGTTAAGTCATATTATTAATAGTTTAAAATCAGGTTTACGGAATAGATCTGGCCTCTCTCATGGAAGAGAAAGCTGTCCATTTTTCACTTGAAATAACAGATATCATTCTTAAATTTCCAGCAGTAATGACACAGGATTTCCTGGAACAATTATGACTTCCCCCAAAATTGTATTCTTACTGCCAAACAGAGCTGTGTAAGTCTTTATCCTGTTCACCTAATCAGAGGGTGATGACACTTTCTTTGTCCTCAAGAAAAGGGCTGAAAAGAATCCTTATTGAAAATGAGAACAGATCTTCCATATCACAGTAGTTATTGAAGAAGAAATAAGAAAACATTTTGTTATGACCTTGCTGCATATAAAGTAACTGCCCCACAAACTTGAACCACTCAGTGAAGAGCCCCACTGAGAAGTCAGTGAGGCCCCTCCAGCAGTTAATGTTTTTAGGCAAGTGAAGAGATAGAGCTTATGGGGCTACATTGGCAGAGGACAGGATCAGTTTTAAGGCAAAGCATTAAAATAACAGCATACTTTAGGTTAGCTATTGATGAAGGTGATATGCTCTCCTAGGGTGGGTTTCAACTTGTCCTGATGATTGGAGACAGTGGTGGGTCAAAGATGCTTGGCATCTTTCAAAGAATGAGACAAAGGATTCTTTTTTCTACCCAATACAAATTTCAAATGTTCCACTAGACTTTCATTTAGAGACAAAGCCTACTTATTTATTAATTGAGCCTGGAAGCTAGCTCAGCTTTAGATATAATTCTTCAAATGTGTGTATGGTTTTAATATAACGTATTTTTTTCCAGGAATTTGACTACCATATAAGGAAAAAAGATCATGTCTATCATTTGCTATGGTCTGAGTGTCCCCCCTCCCTATCCATATGTCTCCAGTGTGATGGTATTAGGAGGTGGAGCCTTTGGGAGGTGATGAGGGCTCTGCCTCATGAATGGGATTAGTGTCCTTACAAAAGAGACCCCATACAGTGCCCTTCTACCATGTGAGAATGCAGTGAAAAGACAGCCTTTCATGAGCAAGGAAAAAGGCCCTCACCAAACGCTGAATCTGTTGGAACCTTCATCTTGGACTTTTCAGACTCCAGAACTGTGAAAAATATTTTTTGTTCTTTATAAGCAACCCAGTCTATGCCATTCTGTTACTTCAGCCAGAATGGACCTAAAACAACATTTTACCAATGATGGCAAAGCTCCATGAGTCACAAACTGACATGCTTATATCATCTGCATTTGTAGCTGTCATATCCATAATACTTCATCAATAGTCTTAGGAATCTATTTTCATTATCTTTGACCATATATGAGTGTCTGAGCATTTATATATTAGAATATGTTTTCCTCTTATTTTTATAATTATATTATTGTATATATTGACTTTAAAAAAATGACTATGATAGATTATCTTGGGGGAGTAAAGGGAACGTATAAAATATTTATTACACAAAGGGGGCATTGGATAATGACAGGATAGAGTACTTCTGATTTAAAATTGTACAGACACCTAAAATAAAAGCCAGCACTTTTGGTTTACTTGTTTGTCCATTTATTTATTTATCTATTTTTGATTCTTTGTTCCCTAGAGGATCTATATTTACATTAGAAAAAGCACCAATTTCCTGCTGACATTCTCCCTATCAACTACACACTTGTGACTCCCAAAGCTTTCTCTTTTATCTTCTTTTTATATTTTGCTTTATCCTGCATGTTACTAGAAATAAAGCTTTTAACATTTCAGAAGGTCAGGTGGCAAACACAGTTTCCATCTGCTTCAGTAAGCCAACCTAATCACAGGCCCTTTGTCACTTTCTTAGCATTGTTCTCCTAGAAGTGTTAAAAATAATCTTAGTTTTCTCTTTTGGCAATTTCCGTTTGAACACTTGGCCAATCATTAAAAACATACCAAATTTGAATTCTTAACACCATCAAATATATTCTTCCTTGGGATATAAGACTGTTCCTTTGATTATATATTTGGATATTCACAAATCAAAACAACTTGAAGTCTCCTAGTCTTTTTATAACTTTATCAGTATTTTTTTAATTAGGGAGAAGGAAACAAAAAATGAATTCCCCTATCCAATCTTACCATTTGTGATGTACTCATTTGTCATATGTAAGTTGATACATCAGTTGTTCTCAGGGTTAGCATCCCTTTATTTTCCAAGACAGAATTTAGTAACAATGTTTCCAGATATACTACAATTTTTCTTCCAGCTATAGATAATTCCTTCCTGTCTTGGTCTGTTCTGCGTGCTCCTCTCAGTAGCGAGGACCAATGCCCAAAGGCACAGGGCTCTAATGACGTGACAGCGATATGCTTTGACTCAACCCTAAAGAATAACGGTGATAGGGAGAGGATGCCTAGCCCAAAATCCATGATTCACTATTCTGCTGTGGATTTCCTAAAAAAAAACAATTGAAACTGAAGCATGGAGGAAACAATCAGCCTTCTAAGAGCTAACCAGGGACAGGAGATCTTCTAGTGATTCTTTCTCTACAAGCAGGAAATCACCTTTTGTGTGTCTATCCAAGGAGCAACAATTCAGATAACTCAGATTCAGAATGCATCTACATTTTTTCCACCTCAGTAACAATATATTTGTAGTTAATATTCTATATCGGTGCACTATGCTAGAGGGAGTGAGAGCTATAAAGGTCTAACATATAAGGTAAATGTCCTAAAACACATGGTCTAGTATACAGCCAGATATATACACATTGCTATTCTTCAAGTCAGATAGTATGCAATAGTATAGATCTACAAGCAAATGATCAGAAAAAGATCATTGGGAACTACGTTCATCTAAACATCATCATGGAAGAAGGGGCATTTGAGCCAGATCTTGAAGGATAGACAGGCAATGAGGAAATAATAAAAGGGTTTTAAATGGTGGAACAACACGATACTGTTTGTGATTTATAAAGGTAATTCTGGCAGTAATACTGGCAGTTATCTTTTCCTCACAAATACAATGAAGCTGGTAACTAGACCCTTTCCTTAAAATTAAACAATAAAAATAAAAAGACTGTACCGCCTGTATACCATAGAGTAATGCAACACTGTGCTTCACTTACTCAGTGGATTTGAACTGAATGGCAACTATGTACCAAACACTGTTGCCAAGCACAAGGGATAAGGATGATCCCTCCTTCCTTCCAAGGAGCTCCCCTCAAGAGACTAAAATGCACGTGATAGGCACTATGAAAAAGGTAAGACAGTGCGATGGAACCCTTCATCTGGGTTTTAAAGGAGGTAAACAGATGACCCAGCTGGGAGAAGACTAAAAGGTGCATTTGGGACACAGCAGCTGGCCCATGTTAGCCAAACACAAAGAATGGAAGAGATTATAAAGAACATGTAAAATGTGAAAAGATGGCAAAGGAAACTGGAACAGAAACCCACTGCCTAGGGGATAGTCAGAGGAAGAATTATTGACAAATAAGACAAAATGATTAGAGAGCCAGGAGGAGAATTCACACAGCATGGAAAACAGTCAAGACCTTCAAAGGAAAAGGGAATGATCATTAACAATAAATGCCACAGGAAGGCCAGTACGGCAAAGCCTGAAGCAAATGCACTGCGCATACCCCATGGATGTCACAGTGGTCATTTGCCAGACCACTTTCTGTGAATGGGGAAAACAGAGCCCGACTATGGGGGAGCATAGTGCTACAGTGTGAACTGCCACCTAAGTACCAGGGTCGCTAAATCTTGACAATGAACATTAAGAAGTAACATTTTAAAACAAATTGTATTTTTAAAGAATTGTGCATGATAATAAGTACAAAAGCATCCAGATGGAATAATGAAAGGTGAAGTTATTTAATAATCTCATTTCATTCTAACATTGATTGTAACACTCTTATTAATACATCATGGGGTATTTCAATGTTGATTTTAATTTTTATCCTGAGCTTGCAGGTAGCAAGATTTTATTCCTGGCCATTTGACAGCTGTACTTGAAAGGGTCCCGAGACCTTAGTAGGTATCAGCTAGACAGACAGTCAAGGTACAAAGATGTTCTGCACAACTCCTGGAGGTCTTTAAAACCAAGTAGAGTCATTAGAATGGTAAGCTTATTCAGCACTTGACTCTTGCGGTAGTCAAGGTATTTTGAAAGCTTTCTGTATCCTTCTGCTTTTGAGATAAAAGATGGCAAAATATATGATCTTCTCTACTAAAGATAGATGAAAAAGGAAAAGCAAAAAATAAAAACTTCTAGGTTTAAAACAAAATTTTTTTAAAAAATAATAATCTCTTAAATTAACACTCTTTATCTTTGTTAAATAAGTAGCATACAGGAATAAGGTGGATGGTGGTGGTGACACTGGGAATATTGTTCTGGATCACATTGCTTGCCCTTAGAAACAAAGACCTTATTTTCTGAGGCGGCAACATGGATGCCTAATGCTTTGCACTGTATTTTTATAGTCTATAAAATAATCTATTGAGATGAGTAAACTCACAGGAGGGTGACCTCGAGTGGCAATAACATAATAGCACATGCACTGAGGTAGAAGGGATTTCAAAATGAGAAGTCAATACTTAGAAAACATAAAATGTTAGCAATGACTTGTCACAGAGAAAGTATTTCTTCATACTATAAAGAATTTAAAAATTCCTAGCATGAAAATCACTTACCTAACTCTTCATTTTCAATGACTTCAAATGTGGCCCAGATATCACCTCTTGTCGGGATGATATTTTTTATTGCTAATATATCACTAGTTAATTCTTCTGCTTCCATCACAGGAGATATCTGTAACACAGGCAAACTTTCTTCAGAATACATATATATGTCAGACAGAGAAGTGGCCTTATGTTAGGGCAATAACAGTCTCCTATCTAACATCTTATGATACTCCAAGTTTCCTTTTAGTATGCTTAACTAGCTTCTCCACATACAGAAGCACATAGAGAAAACAGGCTATTCAGATCTTCTCCATAAAATGTTATACACTTTAATGTAAGTGCAAAAAGATATTACAATATAGACATAATTCAGGAAGAACTTTTTTCTCCCTTACTATGCTATTAGATCACTCAAGGAGGTACGTGATAATACACAGAAAGACATTCACCAGACAAATACAAAGGTCTTCTAGGAGTAAGACTTTTCACTTGTCAGTTCTATAATCAAGAGTTGAAAGTGCCTTGATTTACTCAGTCTGGGCCCTAAATTATACACAGCCAACTGCTCTCTGCCATGCCCCAAAGCCCCAGGGTTTTAATGGTCTGAGGTGTGTCCTGCCATGCCAAGTGACAGACAGTGGGATACCAAAGCATGCTGGAACCAAGATTTTAGAGCATAGAACAGAGTCTGAAGTGCCAGCCTGGGGCCAGCTCTACAGGAAGGCCCCAGGCCATTGCATAAGTGCACCATCTTCTTCAGGGGCTTTGGGGATTTTTTATTTGTTTCCTCTGTTTTTACCGATCTTAAATGTCAAAAGCAAGCTGGCATTCTTCAGTTAGAATTGTTATAATATTAAACAAATAGAAATGTTTAAGCATTAGAATATTGTAACTACAACCTAGTTTGCATGTTTTCAGTAAAAATCTACCTATTTAAAGAGTTCTGAGAAAAGGAATATGCTCATTTCCATTTCTCCTGTCCATTATTGATCATGAGCACACTGGACATATGTAAATAACCTAAAACATTTTTCATTACAGGTCACTCACACAGTCTATCTTTTGGACCTCCTGGAATATATTAATGATACAGTGACATTCACTGTTTTCTATTTGGAAAAGCCCATTGAAATATAACCTTAAAAGAAAAACCAGCATCTGGGAAAGTGGAGAACTTGAAGCAATAGAAAGATTAGTAGATGAATCATTTCAATGATGCTGATCATCTGAATGGCTTTAAAATTTTTTAAGAAGTATAACCCTTTATTAAAATAAATGATTGAGAAACCACATTTTGTGAAACAGTTGGCAGAGTGTGTCTCAGGCTGACGCAGGAATGGAAGACCAGAACTCCACTCCTCGTCCCAGGAGATTCCCTAGGCCCCTCTTTAGAATACCTACAACTTCACAAAGCACACTTGGGAAATCACTGCTCTACGAAACATACAAGTTAGTTAGTATAACAAACATCAGGTTTGGAACATGACGCTCAAGGTCTGCATTCTGGTATTAATGCTTTTAATTCCCAGTTTTCATTCGTATAAACCTGAGACATCACAGGCTTCATCTATCTCCTCAGGTTGAGGTACTGATCTGCTGAGATAAAAATAAAGACTTCTACAAAGTCTTAAGTATTAAACAAATGTTAACAATTGTTTCATATAGCTTCTGAAGAGAATTAGAAGTTGTAGGTGCAACTACATAGTCCTTTATGTATATATATTAACATAAGAGTTTTGCTCAATTGTAATAATTTTGTTCAATTGTAATAATTATAATAATTGTAATAATTGTTACAGCTTTATTAAGAAGATAAAATTGAAATGAGCTAATAAAGAGTTTCTGTGTAGGTGGCACTAAGTCATGTGCTTTAAATACCTCTTTTAGCATTAGTGATGGGCTTGTGCTGATAATCTATTACTTCGTCCTCATGTTCCCTATTATCAACATTTCACAATTAGCATAAAAAATACGATGTGGCCAAGGAGTGACAAGGCTACTGAGTCATAACGACAACATCTATGACTCTAGTAGTTCAGTTCCATTCTCTAAGTAAGGTAACCAGTGCCACAGAGTCATAATATGAAAACATTATGTTTTCATATTAAAAATGTATAAATTTACAATTACAGTATGTTTACTAAAGCCCAGAAATACCTAATGTTAAGACTTTAATCTTGATCTTTAAAAAAGATAAGGAGCTAAAGCTGAATTTCTACTTTTAAATGGCAGAATGCCTAGTCTTCCACAGACAGAGAATGTAATCTTACTAAGTAGAAATTTGAAATATCACTCTTACTTTCCCGAAGGCTGACTATGTACTGAATATGGTATCATGAGACAGATCTTTTTCATTCAGAAAAAAATGATTAATATTCTTAAGAATAAAAAGAGTTATGCAATACCCAAGTAAATATGGAGATTGCAAGCTGAAGTCTAGGATACAAGGGTGGGAGAGTATTAATAATTAGTAATGATAATAGTACTAGTAGTATTATTTACTGAACACTTATTCTGTGCTGAGCTGTTTGATAAGTGTTTACTGAGTCTTCACATCAAGCTATGATGTAAATACTGTAATTTCTCCTCATTTTATAGGTAAGAAGACTGAGGCTCAGACAGAGTAAATTAATTTGCCTAACTTGAAGAAGTTAGGAAGGAAAGGAAAGTGTCTGAGCTCAAGTTATTTCCAGAACCTATAGAAAATCCTAACTGTAATCTAAAGTACATAAGATGCTCTCTAACCAAATGACTAAAATATGGAATTCCCAGAGGATATTGGACAATTTTATCATTAGTCATTATTTGAGTTGGACATGTAAAATAAAATAGAAGAAACAATGGAAAATTTAAGATATTTATATTAATGCTAACATGTGTGATTTCCAATAATAGTACTCTTCAGATCTGTCTTCAGGACTCACCCGAATTATAATACTGCAGTCAGGTTCCTTCCTTTCTACATACACTTCAATTAGCAAATCTCCAGCCTGGGAAACCTAGAAAACAGCAGATGTGAAGACAGCAATTTTAAGTATGTTGCAAGAACACATATATGAGACTTAAGATAGAAAGTCCTAGTCCTATTTCTAAATATTTTGTACTAATGAAATGAGCCAATCACCCTGTTAATAGTATGACAATACCCATTTTTCCAGACGTGATTAAGAACAAGGAGGCTACACAAGTGATAAAATCAGCAACAATAATCACAATGCAATTTTTTATCTCTTACTAAAGAGTTTGGTGTCCTCAAACACCCTTACATTCTTACTGAAACCAACAATCAAGCTACAATGGAAATATGCTGACTTCAACAACAGAAGTCGTAAGAGCCATCAGCATGTATGCTAACAGGATAAACAAAATGAGGAGGGAAAATGAGCCCTATGTAATTCTGCTCTACACTGTCGTGTAGGCATAAAACCAATAATTAAAAGGGAAAACAGGTCTGGCTAATTTTCAAAGACATATCTAAAAACTGAAATTTGAGGATAAAAGTGGGTCAGAGTTATATTAAAATTACAAATAGAGAAGGTATCTTTATCAAGGAAAAAATAAGATGAAAGGATAAAATAAGGTAGATTATAAAGGTAAATTTTCATTTTAATTATATTTAGCCAAGCATTAAGTGGTAAGTTATTTGGGTCACTGCTGTACCCCAGAAGACATATTAAAAAAAGAAGACCCAAGCCAGAAAATAAAAGGTATAAAACGGCACTCCATAGATCGACAGTATAATATGAAGATTAACAAAGAGCCAAATGGATTTATGAAAAAATATGTGTAGCTTTTTTTCAGAAACTCCTTTGTTTCATAATCACTTAGAACTAATATCTATCACCCAATATTTAAAATGATCCTAACAGGGAAACAGTAATTCTGAAGTTAAATTTGCCTCAGAATAAAACCTGAGAAGCAAATTTTGTGGGAAAACATTAAAAAATGTAAACGTTCTTAATTATTCTGGCACTATAAGCTTAGAAAAGCTTTATTTCCAATTTTTCTTCCTCACTTTCGATGTGACATGAAAATTCTAGGGAAGAAAAGATACAGTTGACATTTTTACTTTTCACTGTGTTTGCATAAACAACTCTCCAGGAAAGACACATTTTAAAAATTAAAAAAGCAAACACAAAGGACTCACAGAGTAAAGCCAAAAACAAGAATAGCTAAGAAGTTCAAACAGGGCTAAGACATAGAGAATGTCAGAAAAATACTCCAGAGGAGAGTTTTGAATGGTTTAGAAAAAAACTCAAGCAGAAGAACACCATTCCAAAGTCTTCCACTTTTCTTCCCCAATTGTCCTATTTTATAGACAGCTCTTTTCTTATTTTTACTCACTTGTATACTTAATTAGAAAGAACTCAAGATTCATCTCCTTATTCTAAGATGAATACAAAAGATTAAAATGAAGAAGAATGTTCACACTTATCTAACAACAATATAGATAATGCTACCTAAGATCATCCATTGAGCTCACACAATCCTTTACTTAATGGCTAAAACTCCCCCCAAAAAAGAATAATCCAAGGGAACTAATTGATAATGAACCAGATTTTTTTAGTGTTACAGCCAACTCCCCCAGAGGCTGCATGAATTACTTTGGGCCAAAATGGAGAAGCTACTTCTGTAGGTAATTAATACCAAAGTATTAGTACTCGGGAATCTAGGCCCTAGAATGAATGCGTTTTCTCGGCTCCTTCATATGAAATTATAGCTCAGATGACTTTTCTAATTAGTAGTAAAATATGTCAGGAATGAGGCTAATCAGGAAGCATTTACCTCATTCTCTGAGTACATCTATAAACAGAATACATTTGACCCATTTCTATTATTTACACTGTATCCTGAATCCACTACAATTCCTAGTTATTAAAAGAGGATTCAATGTCAATTTTAATAAAGTTCAACTAACAGTCCTCAAACAAGGAACGGTACCCTGGAAAACTACGGTGCAATCTGAACATAAGAATACAAAATAATGAGACGCAGGAAAAGAAGAGAAGAACTAGAAAAGTCAAGTAAGACATGAATCAGCTACGTTACAAAGATCACATTAGAAACTTTCCCACTGATGCAATTTATCTGAGAGCATGCAGAGCAAAAGCATGTAAGAAATGATTCATATTGTCAAAATCATAATGAAAAGAATCATTAGGGAGTCTGAATTTTCAACTAACTAGTATTTCTTTGGCTTTAAATGCTTCCTTTGAAATCTACTGGCATTTTCAATAGTACTTTTATAACTAAAATTTGATTTTATAAAGGATATTTTGATAAGATTAAAACTGATTTTTCCCTTTATATTCTGAAAAATTTACATTAAAATACATGGACATTTTGCATGTATGCATCATGCTGCAGAATCACACAGCTATTTTACCTAGGTTCCTATCTCCCCATTACTTTTACTTTGCTTTAAATAGGAACTCGAAAACAAACACAACAAATGTCTTTACTTACAATGGAAGTTTTTTTTGTTGTTGTTTTTTAAATTTTTTATTATTTGTAGGTCTAACTATTACTACTCACTTGAGTGTCTTTCCACTTGGTAATAAAGCTATTTTCTATGTCCATTTGTTTGACTTGGTCTTCTTTAACCTGTTTAAAATATAATTTGGGACATTCTAATAAAATACAAGGAGTGATGGTACTCATCCTCACATATCTCTTCAAGAATTTACAAACCAACAAGTGAAAAATAAATGAGAATGGCCATCTTAATCAGCATGGGTCCACACAGCGAGGGCAGAAATAAAGCCAAGATAGAGCCTCATCAAGTTCACAACACTCCATGCTGTAGATTCCATCAACAGAAGCCCTATTGCTAAGGTGACTTAATAAGCAATGGGGCAGATGACTGGTTTGTTATGTTTATGTAGGGTGAAATACAAGATTCATTTCTCTGACTGAAATGTTCACTAAGTGCTTATGTTAAAGTTGGATTTAACAAAACGATGAAGATAACTGCTTATTTTTTATTAATGTAGCAGTACAAAAACAGAAAAGACAGCATGTAAAGCCACACTTTTTTTCTAATTTTTCATTTCTCAGCATCAGAATTATGCAAAGAAATTGCTATTTATCAAATATAGTGGACATACATAGAAAGAAATAAAAAGGAGATTAAGGAGCAAAGAGAATCCAACAACTCTAGTGTCCATTCCTATGTAAACTAAGATACAAATTGTGCTATTTTATTAAAATACAGTTTCTTTTCCTTTGCTAAGGAATCCTGTGATCAGTTATAGGAATGTAAGAACTCTAGAAACAGTAACCTATTATTTTAATCCATTTGATTTCATCTGGTATACACATAGCACCCCCCAACCCCAAAAAGTCTTATGCAATACCATTTAATAGAATGCCCCAAAAATAGAATGACAAAACTGAGATGCCAGAAGTAGTTAGTGATAAAGCTGGACCTGCCACCCAGAACCTCTATATTCCCTCCATGTTCAAATCCTGAGCTTATTTCCTTTATTTGTACCTCTTTGAACTAAGAAATCATCCTTACTCTCTTTCCTAATAAAATATGAAAACATTAACCTCATAAAGTAGCAAATTGAAAAGTCAAATAATTAGAACAGAGTGTGGCAGTAAAAGCCACAGAGTATTATTCCAGAATTTTATTTTTTTTCCAATTCATGCACTATTAAAACACTAAATGCTTTCAATTGCAGAATTTATCATCATGGTGTTTATTACTGAATTTGTGAAATTTGTATTTCACAACTATAACTAGACATACTTAATGCATACAAATACTGAGGAGAAAAACACCCAACACCCATAAACACTATAAATGGAAATATTTTGTCCAACAGACACCAGATGGTGAAAAAGCTTTGAAATCAGCCAAATTTAAAAGAATGGCTATAGCTTAAAAAGCTACTTAAAGCTAACAAAACTGAAGATCACGTAACTATCCTTTATTTTCTTTATTTTTAAATATTCATAAAGACCTGAATAAAAAACATCCTAAAATATATTCTTTAATTTGCAAACAGTAACATCAAAGCTATTTTAACATGGGCAAGAAATATTTACCTCAAATATTTCAACATAATTATTAATTAAGTCTTCAATTACATTCACTTCTTCACTAGTTTGCCCCTCAGTTTGAAACAAACAAGATGAAAAGACCAAGGCCAAATTATGGGCGCTCATGTGATTGATTTCTGAGCATTTCTGAACCCTGTTAGAGAAAAGCACAGCTCATTAGGGCACACTTCTATCTGAAAATTCCATATAACTGTAAGTCATAATACACATTTATCATTTTTTTTAAAACACATACACACTGAAGGCCTCTGATATAAAAGGTGCAGTGGCGATTTAAAGAAAAATACATTGTTCTTTCTTCCAAGTAGCTTACGGTCTAGCTTAAAACATAAGAAAAAACTCCTGTTAAAGGAGATACTATTGCACCTTACAAAGCAGTACTTGATTGTTGATTTAGGAGAGACCCACCGTATCCAAACAATTCCAGATAAAGGGACAGCCTGTGGCCAAGGTGTAAAGGTGTGCTTGCAGAGTGGTGCAAAATGACTTGAGAGACTGAATGAAATAAGGAAAGGTAACAAATGAAAGAAGGAGAAAGGGGCAATGGGTAAGCAGGAAACAAGGTAAGAAAGAAATTGGGAGGCATATTATTGAGAGTTCCAAATTTAAGGTTCAAGCCTGGTCTGAATTTTCTAGCAAGTGTCCATCTGGTAAAAAAATACCTGGCAGCATGTGTTTCTATGGTTGTTCAAAATAGGATACTATCACTTAAAAGGCAAACAATTAATGAAAAAATATGATTACACTTTTACTGGATATTACTAAAAATGGCTTTTTATAATGAACAGAAATGAACAGAGTAATCAACTCTCCCAATCAGTGGGCTGAAACACTTGGGTCTTACAAAGAACATTTAAAATATTCACAAATGTTAAGTTTAAAGTGATTTTTAAAAAAATTACAGCCATCATCCCAATAAAAGGAAATGTACATTGATAAAATGCATAAGATGAGAACTATAAGTGATACACAGAAATATCTGTTAATGCTCTTTGTCTCTAATTGTATATATAGCAGCTGCTTGATTGCCTATCTAATTACATTTGCAAACTTTTAAAATACATACTAAAAATGAGAGACCAACTCCATGAAAGGAATAAAGCAAGACTATGGTAGGTATACATATCTATGAAGAGCAGAGAGATTCTAGCAGGTACAAGAAAAAGTGAGTAAATGTGACAGCAATATATATGATAATGTATGAGACTCACAATAAAATGCCAAACTGCACAGCAGAGAAAGAGCAAGTACAATCATCAAATATGATTTACAAGATGCAAAAGGAATTGCAAGTTAATAAGAGGATGTAATAATTATGGATATCCTTTTCAACACCGTTTGTGTACTTTATCACATGGGTCCAGAAAATTTATCTGCATGTTGGCCTCTGTCACTAGAATCTAAGCATCTCACAGTCAGGGACTGTTGCTTTAGTCACACTGTAGTGTGTAATAAATAAATGGGGAGTGGATTAAGTAAATGTTAGTCAAGCAGAAAGTGATCTGTTAACTAGGGCAGGGATGGAATTTAATGCTAAATCAACCTGACCTTACCCAAATTGATGTCTCAAACTTCTGATGACACTATCATGCAATTCCATCTTTCCTGAGACCTCCATCTGCAACGGCATTCTCCTGTCACACTCTTCACCTCTCTTCTGTTTCTGTAACTGCCTGAATTTCTGACATAAAGTATGTACAATACAGTATTTTCCTTTTCTTCCTCTCTCTCTCTACCCTCATGTGTAGCATTCCTGAGAGTTCCCCACTCAGCCCACTTACGCTCTTCTCACTCAGCCCTTCTCATCAGAAGGCCCACGGAAACTGTTCTCTAAATTAGTTCCCCTGCCTTTATTCTAACCTCTGCCCAGTCCATCCATTACATGGGTTATTGCCCTAAAACAGACAAGATCAGTCACTCCTTAATACTCAAAGGAATAAAATCCAAATGTTTTGGCACGAGCAACAGAGCCTTGTACAACCTCCTTCCAGCCAACTACAAATCATCTGTCTCAGCACACCTGTTCCCTAGAAAATCTCCTTCACTCACTTCTCATACTTATCTTTCATGTCCAGCTCATTTGTCCCTTTCGATTTGAGAATGCTGTACAAGACTACATCTGATTCATTTCAGAAACTCTTCAGTGTTATTTATCTTAGATGCATCTTAATTACAGGAAAAGATGCTAAAGAGATAGCTTAATGAGGATTTCATTTTGGAACCATTCTTAAGATATGGTAAAAGATTCAGAGTCACAGGCAGAAGGCGAACTACAGTACTTAAAGAAATGGATCACTGAGTGCCATGTATGAAATGTCTAGAAAGTTCATGAACCCACCCACCTGTAAAGGTGTTCAATTACAGCTGCCAGGGTTGCTCGGTTGACCCCTGGAAGAGTACGTATGAATGCTCCATACTTTTTAATTCTTTCCTTGTCATCTTGGGTATCTATACGTTAAACAAACAAATAAAACAACAACAAAGAACAACTTCAGGTCTAAACTTACAATCTGCATTACAGATTTGCCTTTTAACAGTATATTAAAACAATATTCACAATTGTATTTCACTGATACAATCAAGTTCAACAGAAAAAATGTTCGACTTTCTGTCGTTCTGGAAAACTGCATAAACATTCCACAGCTGTGCACTATTGCTCTTACATTTTCTAATTAAAAATGAAGCACTTTCAAAACCTAAGGTTGTATTTTACCTTCTACTGAATGGAATATTGAATGCCACTTAATAGGAATATATTCAATTAATAACTCAAACTGGAGTGGAAATTGAAAAGATAAGCCAAAGGTATTTCAATTATGACTACGGGCAGACTTCATTATTGTTATTTGAAAATGACATTTCTGATCTTTTTTTCTTGCGAATCATAAAAATCTTCCCCAAACTATGAATCATCCCAGAGCTATGAACTGTGTATTACCTTACAGAACCAGGTAAAGGGCCTTTTACCAGCCCTGGTACTTTCAACATTTTGGAAAAGGTAAGGGGACAGTAGAAGAACTCAGGTGCAGGCCCTGATAATTATTATACAGATGGAGGAGAATGGACCATTGGCCTTGGTCATGGATAGAACTTGGTTAGCTATAGAGAGGAAGATGAGAAGGAATTAACCTCTTCCCTCCTATCCAAGAAGTCAAATACTGGACACATTAGACATAGGAACCCCAAAAGTTCTACACTCTAGAAGATATGTAATAGTGGTTTGGCTAATCTACTAGCTCGCATGGGGAATAAAAGGCCTTGTCTTGAAATAAATAACTTGTGCTGACTTTGTAACTCAAGAGGATTGTGCTTATATCTTCCCTCTCAATTCCCAACTCTCTTTGGAAACAAGATTTTTTCATTTTCTGCTTAGTTCCACCTATTCCATTCACGGAAAGCCAGCAGCACATCAATGATTCTTTAGAAGTATATGGTCACTTGTAAAGGGCATTAGGAATGCCTGAGGAGGTAAGAGACTGGGACACATCTGTGACATCTGTGAAGCACACTCTTCAAAACTGCACCTGATGCTTCTTTTGCACTGATTGAACCTGCATGTGAGTGAGGTCTATAAACGTAAATGTGGTCTCATCGACTTAACTGCACTAGTAGATGACTCTAAAAGCAAGAAGGGAAAACACCCAATTATGTACAAAGACTGTACTGAAAGTGAATTAAAATTATCTACTATCCTGAGTACAATGCCAACACTTACCCTTGCCCTTGTGTCATCCAGTTTCTCACTGTAGAGGTAATTGTAGTTATTCAATAAAATGTAATTAATACTATTACACTTACAACAAGAACTTAGGCTAGTACAGCACATTTTCACAAATCTTTTAAAAAGAAAATATGTAACATTTTCAAAATAAAGTTTAAGCAATTTGAAAGTAAAACTGAAGATAGAATTCAGGTCAGATAGAAAATACAGTGAATTATTCAACTACTTCATTCACCACTTTAATAGTGTTGTTAGAGAACAGATCATACATCCTATAAATAGGTGGTATGCCACTGTAAGGCATGCTTCACCTTAGGTGCACAGGAGGACCCAGGAGAGCTCTCATATGAGGTCACCCAGAGAGTTCTGGTTTACCCTTGTCAGATCAACCAGAGGTACATCTGACAGGTCAGGGTGCGCTACACTGGATCCAAAAGCAAAGAAACTTTAGGGCTCTTTGACCCAGTGTCCAAAGCCTTCACCATGTAAATTCTCAAAGAATTCACATCCAGGTGAAGGGTGAACACATTTCTCTCTGACACATGCTACCATTTCCCAACTATCTCCTCCTGGTTGACTGACAGCATTAAAGACACCTTTGTCACTGAATTTGACAACTTTAGCAAAAGCATATGTGTCATAGATTTTTGATACCTGATTTTACAATAAAGACAAACTGTCTTTATAAAATAGAGATTCTATAAATAGCTTCATAATTATAAACTACAATAAAAATCTTAAGGCAAAAATGAGGGTGACAAGGTAATTGGGCTTCAAGAGATGTATTATATTATTTCATATTTTATATTCCAGAAAATTATACAATCATCTCTTTTTGTAATTGAAGTTAAACCTATTGATTTAAGAAATATCAGGAAGCAATAAAGAACTTCTGAATTAGACAGTTAAGTTATGAAAAGCTTTATTTTAATAACAATATGACTTTCTTCTTGTTGATACTAATAAGGGCGATCCTTGGGGTAATTTCCAAACTGGGTTTTTGTGACATTTCAGAATTAATCCCTTCAAATTTCCTATTTATATTTTAGATCAAGTGACTACTTTCAATGGAAAAAATCTATTTCTCAACCAAAAAAAAATCATACAGTCAAATTCAAAGGTCATTTTCAAAAAATATCTTGAAACACACTTAATGTCTGAGAGAAATATATTACTAAATTACAGCATAATTCAATAACATAAAAATTGAAAAACATGAAGATTGAAAATCATCACTTTGAAAATATTGTGGGCATACTGGAATGTCTGTAGTTTATAATAAAGATTATGTGATAGGTGTGGGGACAAGACTATAAAATAGTATGTAAAAATGAAAATAGCTCTATTAGAAAGATGGGATTAAAGGTAACATTTCTATTTAAAAGTCTTTACTGTTGTAATGTTCCTATGAAAGGAGTTATTTTGAATTAATGGATGTTAAATATAGGTTTTACTGAAATCAATTTGATCAAGTAAGCAATTCAATAAACTTTTCTAGGGTTATTTCTTAAAAAGGTTTTCCTACAGTGTAGCAAAACTTTTTTACTTCATTTTAGACAGGGTCCAGGGAAAATAAAGAAAGAAAGAGTAAAAAAATGTTATGTACTCCAAAGAGGGAGAAAAAATAGAAGAAAGCCAGGAAAGTCATACTGGGAAATCAAGTAAAACGAATCTCATACTACACCTTTATTTTAATCTTATTGAGAAATTCACAGCATATACTTGACTATAACACTTCCAAAGTTAAAGCAAAGCAGAAACTAAGAAATCACTGAAAACTAGGTATTACCATTAGATGGTATTTAGCAATTATGTATAAATTCCTTTTGAGGTAGATATAAACAAGTATGGATATTTACATTTTCTGTTCTGTGCCGTTATGTACATTGTTCCTCCCAATTAAGTATTCAGATTATCAGACTTTTAAAGATCTAACTATCAAATTATAAGGCAAGCATTTAGTACATTCTGTATTAAATGTATTACCTAAGGCAGAGATCCAATATGGATAGAGTTCCTTAGTAAGAAGTGCATCATCGATGTCAGAGAGAAAACTTTTCAACACGCCTGTCACATCTTCAAGCTGATGTTTTCCAGCTCTCAATTTTAAGCTTCTTGCATCCTTTTTGAAATTCTCCAGGAGTTCACTTATGTGCAGAGGATCACCACTCTTTTGATAGATATATTTGCACCCTAAACCTTTGTTAGGAAAAAGAAAGGTTACAAGAAAAAAGTCTAAAATCAAAATCCACTTTATTATCTTAGAACTTTTGTGTTGGGATGATAGGCAAGAGGAAATCATTATCCAAGAGTTGATAAAAGCACACCTGAGAGGAGGTCTCCCCCCCCGCTCCTAATTTTAGCACTGAAAATGTAAACCCATGAGCAAGCTGCCCCAACCTCAGCTTTCAGCAAGCTTCTGCTCAGCCTCCCATCAGTGCCTCACGCTTTCTCTCATGTTCTCGTACCACAAGTGCCCACCTTCTTTCAGTCTCCCACAGTACAATTTGCCTCTAGGACAAATTTCCTGAGTCCTCTGCCCTCATTTATGCACTGGTTTCTGTCTGTTCCCCCCTTTATCTTCTTTTAGACAAAGAGTTGGGTCATTCCCTTTTCAAAGTGATTATCAAGTGCCCCACATAAAACAAGAGTGTTGGTTAGTAGGAGGCAGAGCAGAGATGATGATGATGTGAATAAAAAATAATGCCCCTTTGCCTTCTACCAGGTCTCCTGTCTCCCTTCCTCCCCAAATGAAGCTATTCGATTACTTATTCTTTCTACCGTCTCACATTCCTGTTAATCCTTGAATCACACAGTGTTGCTTCTGTGCTCACTTCCTACTCTGTTGGGTCCAGCTTCATCAAGAGCATCAACCCTACTTTCTAGATGCTTTTCAATCTTTACCTAATGAGAATTCCTGCAGTGTTGGACGCTCCAAATGAATCCCTGCTACACTGTCTTTAAGAGCATGGCTTTCATGACATTATGACCTTGCATCCCTTTCCCTCTTCCTCACGACTATCCTTCCAGGTCTTCTATTATTCTGCTCTCTACTATTTACCGATGAATCCAGATATCTGCTCTCAATCTCTCCTCTTCCCCATTTCCAAAATTCTCTGGGTGAACGTATCCACCTTCCTCACTTCAACTATCACATATACATTTTCACTCAGATTTTAATTTCTAAGATTTCAAACACACACACATTTTAATATACATATACTGTATAAATATACATGCAACACACATATCCACGCCAAACTACACATAGACAGATCAAAATAACCTGAGGAATTAATTCCCCTGACCCAGTCACCGCTTCCCATCCCAATCCCAATATGCTGTTTATCTTGTTCCTGTAGCTCAACATACGGCACTCCTTCCTCCCCAGTCCTTCACAAGTCAGCACTTTTCTTTCTCATTTATCACATTAAAAAAAATACCATCACATACACTATTCATCATGGCCTCACTTTCAAAACTGTCCCCGTTTTCCCATCCGCATGCTATTATCTGGTGCCCTCAATTCCTCACTACATTTTTACAACTCCCTGCCTCTATTCTTGTGCAGCCCTCCCGTCTGCCTGGACAATAGTAGTGTGTTCTGAAATACCGATCTGTTGGCATTACCAACATGTTAAAAAATCTGGATATGACCTTCCCACTCCCTGGTGGGAAAGTGTGAGGATTTTGTTATGATATATAAGACCCAGCGTGAATTAGCCTAACCCTTCTGCCTCTTTTATCTCCCTGCTCTTCTCACATTATACTCAGACCACATTTAACTACACAAAGTTCCCTGAACAGACAACTTCCTGCTGACTCCACTCAGGTGCACACACGGTTTCTTCCTCCTAGAAGCCCTCTCCATTCTTCCCCTCACTAGCTCCTATTTTCTCTTAAGACTCATGGAAGTCTCACCCATGAAAGCCCTCCATGGCCACACTTATTCTGGATGAAATCGCCCTCACACCACGGACACCCACACCAACTCCTGAACCTCTCTACCACATAATTTTGTAAACTTTAGCTGTAACTATCTGTCCACTTGTTTGTCCTTGATTCACATATCTGTACACTCCTGGAAGGCAAGGATCATGTCTTATTCTCTGTATACAGAAGCTATAAAGTGCCTTGAAGAACACAGTGGGTATTCAACAAATGACTACTTAATTCAAGAATAAGCAAATTCTACAAAAAACAATGGTGACCAAATTTCTGATATGTTATGTCCCTAACTGAGTGAATTTCTAATAGCTGGTACTCAAATGTTTAGTTAACTGAATGTGAATTTGAATATAGTTTCATTTTATACATGAAAATAGTTTTCCTGAAGAACTACTGGAACTCATTAAAAAAAAATTAAACTCTAAAAATTATACTATCAACTCGATCAAGTTCAAATCTTGATACCAGGAGCACAAAATACTGACTTATAGATTTTAACCCAAAGATTAAAAAGAAGGAACTTCGAAATAACTGCAATCCTAAAGGCTCTGAGCAGACCACCTGCATCACTATAATCAGTAAATCACTGGGCATTCTCTAAGGTCTTATCAAATCTTCCCTTCTATACAAGCTGTAACTTCAGGGTTTTCCCATGTTCTGCTCATAAAAAAGAAAAAAAAACATATAAGAAAGTCTTCCATTGGCTTTATTACTTTAATATGCAAGTTAATGTACCTTCTGCTAGAGTTACAAAGTAGTTATAATGTATGAAATTTAGTTGAAAACAATCTAATGCTTACTGATTTTAAACTCAAAGAAACACCACAAAGAAACTTCTGATTTCCCTAGAGAAACATTAAATTGGATACACTCGAGCTACTCAAGTTATTTTAATCAATTTGTCAGCTTAATAAAGACCCTATGCCGTTGTGAAACTAACGTGATGTGAAAATTCCCAATGAGGTTATGTTCTTGCTAAAACATAGTATGTGTGCAATTCACTTATATCTGCAAAATACAAGTGTACTGACAGTGAATGGTAACAGATGAAGATAACCTTCTTCCTTGCCAATTTTCAAATAAACGGATGATTACAGTTGATAAGAAAAATATAGACATAGTACCATTCAAAGGAAATTCAGAGGGTAATGACCTCATAATGTGATCACGTATACATTTACAGAAGATACATAACTCAAACGCAATGAGCCTGAATATTGATGATAACTGTACTTGGATTACATATGGGATAGGTAAAATATTAAAATGGCACTCTCCCCAGAAGAAAATATATTAACATATACATATTATATTTAATTTCCAGGAATTATTTTCTACATAGCCTTTGTTTTATTTCTGACATTTAGTTACATATCAGTTTATTGCCAGTTCTCATACTGAAGTGCATGACTCATGGCTTTGTCTTTAACTTATTATTCCCACTGCTGTATTTCCAGTACCAAGATCAGCAGTGAGCAAACAACAGACACTCAATAAATAAGGAACTAACCAAAAACACAATGTTTTACTGCAGCTTTCTCACTGATTATACCTTCTTTTCAAATTAAAAACACCCAAGACACTTGTAACTCCAAGAGAACAAAAAGAGTTGATACACCTTCCAAAATACCAATCATTTCACTGTTAGGCATTTGTTATTTAAATCAATGGCATTTTACACCAGATTGAAAGACAGCAAATATTTTTATGTTAAAAATATAATTAAGACATTTCTACCTTTGAGGGCATTAAGGAAATATGTAACAGGAAGAAGGGATTTAAAGAATTCAAAGTAATTTGAAAAGAACCATCAAGAATAAAAGCATGTTTTATTTACTTTTCAGGCATATCAAAACATTTTAAATTAAAATAAAGCTGGACCATGTAGATATCAATCAGTATCTTTTTTTACCTAAAAACTATTCATAAAAATACCTGCTGCAATAAGTCAAAGCTATTACAATTAATAACTATGATTCTTAATATAAACATATGACCAATAGCATTATGAATGGAATACACATACATACTTTGTATGCCTGCCAACAAAAAGCAAATACTTTTACATATTTTCCCATGTTCTAAAAACATAGTTAGACAGCCCATGGCATTCCCCTAGACTTTAATGAAGCTTGTGACCTCTGGAAAATACAGTCTTTAATCTACTTTTCATACATACTTAATTGTAAATTCTTTCAATCTGGTATTTAAAATGTGTATGCATGTAAAGGAAGGTGGATATGGTAAAAGTACATTTTACAATTTAAATGAGTTTTACTGGGAGAAGGAATGGCATTTAGCTCAACAGTGACTGTGCTTTTATTTTTCACTGGTGTACTACAAATAGAAAGGTTCTAATTCAGTCCAATGGAGGTACCACTTCAAAACTCTAAGAATGATATTATGAGTTCAGGGGCTGAAAACAAACTCTGTAACACTTACCATACTGTGTAACAAATGCTATACAGCTGTTCACGATAATGGGAACGTCATTTTTGCTGAGCTGCTGATCTTGTAAGGCATTGCCATCTGTACCTGCTGCTTTCTCAATTGCAGTACGCCAGACCGTGAAATCCAACTTGGTATGCCCATGGATGTATAATGCTCTGTAAAGTTTAAAAAGCATTCCAAATTAATTTTGCTTAAAAAGAGAAAAGTCTTACTTGAAGACAGATTACTCTTAAATACATATCAATGTGCTCTTTCTTGCCCATCAGAAGAAAAACCCTGTCTACCTCTAGCTTTCACTCAGTCCGTCGCCTGGACAGTCACGTCTCTCCGCAGAGTAGAGGAAGTTCTCTGAATTCCTGGTGTCACCTCCCTTCATTCCCAACCCCTTTTATTATGTTTCTGTTTAACTGAACTGAAACTGCTCTGGCAAACACCACCAGTGAATTCTAATGGTTGTTTGTGGATGTATCTTTCAAAATACTAGAACTACTGATGATTTCATTTCTTAAAAAAGAAAGAAAGAAAAGAAACTACCACCTGATCTGGCATTGGTAGTACTGTTCTTTCTGGATTTCCCTTCTATCTTGCTGGGCACTCGGTTTCTTTCTCAAGCTCACTTCCCCTTTTTGAAAATGAAGCTGTAACCTTGGAGCATTATATCTTGGAGCATTATTGGGTTGCTATCACGGCCCAACCCAAATGTTAGCTCTGTATTTGCTTCCTCTGTGACCTCGGACAATTTATCAACTTCCTTTGGGCCTCTGTTTCATCATGGGCAAAATGAGGATAATAGCACCTACCTCAGCACTCAAAAAAATATAATCCTAATACTAAGTATAGTGAACCATAATAATAAGTAATATTAACTTTTGGAAGCCTTCACCTTAATGTGCCACAAGCAGCTCAAGCCTTTCTCCCTCCCCACACCAAACTGGTACTACAATTCTCCACTTACCCCACCAGGAATTTAGAACTGATCATGAATTGCCTCCTCCCATCACTGCCACATGAATTCCACCACAATAATCCTGTTGATTCCAGTTCCCTGACATATGTGTGCTGCCTCTTCGTTCCAACAATGCCTTATTTCAGGTCTCCAGATGGCTCCGTGAGGTCACTGAAAACCCGACAGAACTCCTCTCCCTGCTCTCCACCTCGCTAACCCCTTCTGCTCAGAGCTGCCAGGAAGATGTGGCTAAAATGCAGCTAGTGACATCACTTGCCGATCGCTGCCCTTCTATACCTCTGGAGTTTTCTAGGGTGAAAGGCCTTCATAATCTGGCCTGTATTTTTGCCTCCAACTTTACCATTCTTTATCAAACTCAAGACACATATTAAAAAACACCAAATGTTCTTACCATTGTAATAAATATTTCCTCCAAAGAGGCTGGCTACTCCTACACCTCTGCAAGTGTACTCCAGGTAGCCCACCCTGACGCTCTCCTCTAGGTGTCCTTTCTGTGCTTAGACTGTAACAGGTGTCCTCCTCTACCCTGAATAGTTGCTTTGCCCATTATACCATCTATTTCCTCCGTAAACGTTTTAGCTGCTAGAGCCCAGACTCTGCTCGGGCAAGCAAAGAAAGCATTTCAGTATCTCTAGTCATTAGAACAGTGCCTGCTGTTTAGCTTTAAAGGATTCTATCACGTTAAAGTATATGGTATCACTAGATGTAAAATCTGATTTGAAACACGAGTTATCATGGATGTATTTAAGTATATTCACACAAAGTAAAACTATTTGATCTTGATTTCAAACTATGAGAGCTACTTTGCATTCAGCTGCAATGAACGCTGGGTTGTTTTGTTTTGGGGGTGGAGGGGGTGATCTTTTCCATTCCTGATAATTCACTGGTCCTAATTTTGAAAGAAAATAAAATTTCTCCTTTCTTTCCTTCAGTTCCTTTTCTTGAAATGCTCGTCTCAGAAGATAATGCTACCAGCCCCTCACTATACACTTCCAATATCTTCTCAACTTGCTATAACGACCACTTCTTCACTGACATTTGTGTCTACAATCTTCATCTCTTGCTTTCTGACATCTTTATCTACTGCTTTTATTTATCACAGCCCCACAGCAGCCCTGACCTCCAGGTTTTTGTTATTTTTTAAGAATTCTGACACTTGCTCTAGCACTCCTGACACACTTTAGCCTTTTCATTGGTCTTACACCATCTTTAGCTCAAAAGCTTCTATTGTTGGGGCTATATGTCTAAATGATGCTACGTAACGAGTAACTTCTCTGAGAAATATCAAGCCCCTACATTACATAGACTTAATCAAAATTACATCTTGTTAAATTCACGAGTTTGGGTAAAGAGAAATTTTTAACTTCTTTTGATTCTTAGTTTTTTTTTTTCAACCTGTCATTTAAGTCTAAATATTATCAAAAATCTTTGAAATTATTTGCTTATAAATCAACAACTACAATGGGTATTTCAGTAAGAAGAGGAAGAAATCTAACATACGATGGCCCTACTCCAGTTCCAGTATAACTCTGCATCAATTGTGAACATTTCACATTTTGTTTCTAGTCTGAAGAAACTGTGATGACAAGTTAAGCTGTCTCTTCAAGAACTAGTGAGCGGTAGAAAAGTAATAACAAGTTAACTCCTGAACCAACTTGTAAAAGACGGAATCCTCAAACATACCATTTACAGCAGATGTTTCAACATTTAATAGCATCAGTTCCAAAACTGCCCTCTCTATTGCTTATCTAAACTCTGTGCACACTGAACCAAGCATCACGAGATATTTTCAATGCAGATGCTGGCCAACTTTGTGATCTCAAATGTTATCAAATAACAATTTTATATTTCTGGATGAGAATTCAAAAGAAACATTCATTTACATTTTGAAATCTGAAAAGTTACTCTGAAGAACAATAATTACAGAGAAACAAATTATGCTAATTGTCCATTGCCCAAGCACACATTTTAAAAGGTGCTTCAAAACCAAATAAAGAAACATTCTTATATCCTGTAATGAATAAAGACAGTTTAATAAGACCAGAAACCAAATCCCAGAACTAACAAAAACAATTTTCTCAAAATTGCAATATAAAAACCACAAAGTATAGACAATCATAGTTGAGCCTAGTTAACTGACAGGAACCCGAAATGTCTTCAAAAATAATATCAATACATTTGACTGTATAAAAAATAAATGTACTTATCTGAAAAACATTTTAAGCACAACTAAAAAGCAAATAACACGCTCCACAAATATGATGAAAAAAATAATACATTAAGCATTTATACAAAAATAAAGACTACTAAGTCTTGTATAAGTCAGCATTTTTTGGCCCAAAACATTCTGCTTTCATTTCTGAAAGACACTTTTTGCTGAATAGAACATTTTAGGTTAACAGCTGCTGTTTGGTTATTTTGTTCTTGTTTTCAAACACTTCAAAAGATTTTTAAAAAGATTTCATTATATTGTTTTCTTGCTTGTACTGTTTCTGATAAGACACTCTTATCTTTGTCACCAATACTTCACGAGTCTTTCTTTCTCTGGTACTTTAAAATTGTTTTTCTTCACACTGGTTTTCAGGAATTTGATTCTGATGTATCTTGATGAGATTTGTCTTTATCATACTTAAGATATGTCGATCTTAGTACATGTGTGGGTTTATCAAATTCAGATAATATCGCCGTAATTCTTCAAAGATTTTTACTTTTACTCCTTTTTTCTCCTCTTGTTTTGGGATTTTAATTACACTTACATGAGACTCTTTGATGTTGTCCCATTGGTCACTGTTGGTTTTATTTAGTCGTTTTTCCTCTGTGCTTGGGTTTTGGTAGTTTCTATCATCATGCCTTCACATCCATTGACCTTTTCTATGTGGAGTGTTCTCTTGTGTTAAGCTGATACAGTGAAGTTTTCTTTTCAGACAGTGTTTTCTTTGGCTTTAGAATATCTATTTCTCTGTGTGGTTCTTTTTTTTAGTTTTCCATTTTTTTATCATTATGTTTTCCTTCACATCTTTGAATAAATATTAATATTTAAAAATCATTGCTTAGCATCTTTGTGAAAATCATTCTCTCTCTCATTTCTGAGTCTGCTCCTATCATTTGATTTGTGGTTTACTATTTCATATCATTAGTAATTTTAGCCATATGTTAGACACTGTGAATGTTGACTGTCAGGACTGTGTTGTCTTCTTTAGAAAGTGTTGATTTTTTTCATCATTTGCCTGTTTGACTCCAGGCAACAAAATTACCTGTGGGGCACCTGATCCTTTTGTAAGTCTGCTTTTAAGCTTAATAAGGTAAAAATACAGCAGCCTTTACCCAAAGGCTTTTAGACTTAATACTGTGGTACTCTCTCCCCCAAATTTTAGCTAGTACAGGTTTCTGGAACTCCTGTCTCTATGTCTTTAATGTAGCAAAACCACCACATTCTGCTCGGTCTCCCCATTCCCTGTGCCATGGATTGAAAAGTGCCTACAGGTAGGGAGCCAAATGATCTGAAGCCTTACTTCACTTGTTTCCCTTCTCTCCATGATCACAATCCTATCTGAAAGTAGTATGTTTCATATATTTTGTCTAGTGCGCTAGTTGTTTCAAAAAAGGAGGCCACGTTTCATGCCAGTTAATTCTTCATAGCCAGAAATCAAAGTCTGGCACATTTTATTTAGTCACTGCAACCATAAATCACCCTCATTTTAATTTATAGAAATATGGCATTTTTCCACACCTTCAGATAAGCATCTGCTACAGAGATGAATTTTAGAAATAGGCAATTGTTATGAAACTGCAAATTCAGACACTGTGTCATAAGAATAATGCAGAAGGAAATATTATTTTAAATAGTTTCTTCTGAAGCCAACAGTTCAGTAAAAAGTGTCAAAGCATCTGATTCCCTGAGAAAGGCAGAGGCTCCAATTTTTTAAAATCTCATCTCTGCACACTATTAGGCAATCATCTGTAGAAATGTGAGACACAGCCCTGATTTGAGTCTGCTCAAAACCTTTAATGGCTGCAGAATAAAACCAAATCCACATATTTAACAATAGTTTTAAAAAGTTAAAAACTAACTGTGAAAATANTGCTGGGCATAGAAGCCACAGGGCATAAATCTGCAAAGAAGTAAAAAGCTAACCTTTGCAAACAATATGGCTTCTCTCTCACTTACCAACTTTACATTTCCCTGTA